TATAAAACCCCTTTAAAGGGACCCATCTTCTATCTACTTAAGGGGGGACTATAAACCCTAAACCCTAAACCCTAAGCCCTAAACCCTAAGCCCTAAGCCCTAGACCCTAAACCCTAAACAGAGGCTCCCTCCTGACATGGCTCAGCTTGAGGTTGAGGTCTGCAGCCATGGCCTTGAAAGGAATTTAGCGCTCAGGGATTAGGGCTGGTTTAGGGTTTAGGGTAGGGTTTAGGGTTTAGGGTTTAGGGTTTGGAGGCCCATGGGACTTAGTAACTACTTATAATTGGGATTTTAACCCTACTTATAATTGAGGCAACACCTATAAGCCCATTTAGGGGGATTATAAGCAGGGTTATAAGCCCAGTTATAAGTAGTTACTAAGTCCCACAGGCCTCCAAGCAGGGATTAGGGTCCAGAGATCAGGGTTCAGAGCTTTGGGTTTAGGATTCAGGGCTTGTTGTTCAGGATTGAGGATAGAATGCTGACTGAAATCACGAGAATGATGAATGCAGCAACACAACAGGGATGAAATTGTTCTCCCCTTACTGCGTCGAGACTCTGAATTGCCAGACGTAGGCCAACCCAAATATGTGTATAATGACAGACATTAATGACAGACATATCTTGCAACATATTTCCTGGCCCTTTGCAGAGAATGCAAGGCTGAGGTTAAAAACCGCGTCCTGAACAAATCCTCAGGCACCTACCCTCAACTACTATTGCCATGTGGAGAAAGCGAAACACCCGTGGAACCTTTGAGGGACTGGAGACTGAATATGGGGACTGTCGGGGAACAATGAGAACAATTCTTAGGATCCACTCCCCGGTTTAGGGTTTAGGGTTTCACGTAAGACTACAGCTTGAAAGAACGAACGAGATGTATTCTCGCTGTCTAGGGGCATACATACTGGGACGCATCCATGCGGAGCATAATATGAACTATAGTTTAAACTTTTAGTATTCCCTTTAATTAATAACCCCTATAACAGTCCCCTATATAATCCCCTATACAACCCTGTTCCAGGAGTTTAGACTACAGCTCATATGAAGTTATAGTGAAAGGCTGCATGCAACAAGTTTGACACGGCTCTACCAGGAACACCAGACGACTGTAAGTTCTGCAGCAACAAGATGCTGGCCCACCTACATATTCCTAGATCTAGGTTTAGGGTTTAGGGTTGGCCAAGAGCTGCCCTGATCAGTTTCGCATGATTTTTTGGGTTAAGGCTCGAGGACTTGTCCACAGAATCTGGCGCCATAAGGATCACTTCAGGATCGCGAAGGTGCATAACAACAACTCCCCGACTCTCCAACTGACTTAAACCCAAGCACCAAAGAATGGTCAAGGGAAGGTCTTTCCTGCCCCTGCCTGCCAAGCCTAAATCCTGAGAATTGTAGCGCCTTTGCGAAAATCAAAAGCTCCAATCCGAATTGTCACGTCGACGTCAGAATCAGTGTTCCAACGCGTTCGAAAGCATCTCGAGGTGCTCTCGAGGACCCTAAACCCCAAACCCTAAACCCTTAACCCTAAGTAGTAGTTTCCATTTAATTTTCCATTCTCCCTATATAACCCCAATATAACCCCCATTCATTCGCGAGGCATGCTGTGATTGTTGGTGCTCTGGGGCGATCAATAGCAATCTGGAGCGAGAAAAGGCGTTCGAAGTTTCAAATTCTTATGAATTCTGGAATGGCATGAGAATTGTTACGTAGAGAAACTCAGAAGCCATTTTTCTGCGGTCGAACCAAACTGGCGACTTCCCCATTATAGTGTTTGTCTCATTCATATAGGACATAGAATCTTCATGGTTGCTATAGGTACCAAACAAAGCAGCTTCTCAAACAAAAATCCAATGCTGGCTGGGCTCTTCCAGGAAAAGCAGCCGTGCCTCGATTCTGCAAAAGATGTCTGTCAATGTCTGCATGTCTGCCATGATTACAAAGGGGTTTCCCAAAATTAGGAGTACCTTATTGGGGGGTCCCTATAATAAGGACTACAGTCTATTGGGGTCTATATTGGGGTCCCCCTATTTTGGGAAACTACCACAAACCCAACAGGGGCTCAGGCGTTCAACTGAGCATGTGACAGAGGTTGAGATGAAACCTTCTAGCAGAACTGTCACTATGTCAGGAAATGTACAGGGGTTTCACTAGGGGGCCAACCTCACAGGGTCCACCTCTCCCCACAGGGTGCCAGGGCCCCACAGACACGAGCACGCATCCCTCAATTCAGACACTTGTATTTTCTCATCATGACTGAAAAAAGTGCACTCGATTTTTCTAGCATCTCAATAGTCGCTGCTCATGAGGTACGTCTTGACGGTAATTTCTGCTGCAAGATGCAGTCAAGCAAGGCAAGCTCAAACGATTCTGCATCCCCGGCCTCAACGTCAGCCAAGCTGTTAAAGAGCTGTGCTACCTGCGAACACGAGTTTGCAGCGTGATTGCTTTTTTTTGTCTGTCCTATTCGAAACAAAAGCGACCACTGTCACTCCTATGGAGTTGGGCTTCTAAAGCAAGATCAGAGTGTGATCCACATTAGCACCTACAGGCACGCAGGACCAAGATCCTGGCCAGCGGTGGAGCTATTCCCCTATTTTGGGAAACTCCCATATATCCACTCACAAACGCCACCTAGCTTACTTTGCCGGACTGGCCTTGACGAAGTCCACTAGTCCGACTTTCAGCTTCCGCGTCTGGTTAATCCTGACACCAGGACGGGCTATTAGACCTTAAAGGGCCCTTAACCTACCCTTGTTTAGGTACTAATAGGGAATCTTAGGGTCTAATAGCACATACTGGTACATGACTTGGCCGTCAAGCGTTAGCTGCGCTCAAGCTGCGGTGCAAAGTGGCGGTGTAGGCGTTGATGGCCTACAGCTCGGAGCTGATGGTTTTTAGGTTTTAGGGGTTTAGGGTTTAGGGTTTAGGGTCAGGTTTCACTCTAAGGGATTTGGAATGTCTATAAATAATACCTACATTGGGCCCCAAAGTCTGTAGATATGACCTACACTGGGCTATTTGGAGCCTTAGGGGTTAAGGGGTTTAGGCTTAGTATAGGGTTTAGGGTTTACTCTAAGGGATTTGGAACCCTAGTAGAAATTACAATTTCAGCTAAATATTAGGATTCTAGGTTAGTAACAGAAATTTAGAAATTAGGTTTAGGAACCTTGTAGTTCGGGGATAGGCTTAGAATAGGGTTTAGGGCTTAGGGCTTAGGGTCAAGATTTAGGATGGTCATAGAGTTTAGGGGTCTTGGGTTAAGGGCTTAGGGATCCGGATTTAGTGTTGTTATAGGGTTTTGGGCTTTGGGTTAGTTCAGGCTTTGAGGATCAGGATTTAGGATTTGGGTCTTGAGTAGAAAGGGCGGGCAGCTGGGAGCTCTAGGGAGCTCCCCATGAGAAGTGCATGAGGCCCTTGGAAGACCCAGTTTAGGGTTTAGGGTTTCAGGTTTTAGGGTTTAGGGTTTTAGGTTTTAAGGCTTAGGGTTTAGGGTTTTAGGTTTTAAGGTTTAAGGTTTTAGGGTTTTAGGGTTTTCGGTTTTAAGGCTTAGGGTTTAGGGTTTTAGGTTTTAAGGTTTAGGGTTTTCGGTTTTAAGGTTCAGAGTTTAGCGTCCGTATGCAGAGGAGAAGCCATCACAGAGCCCCCCCCCTCCTCCCTTGAACTCCTGCAACGCTTTGAAAGACAAATCTGTAAGGAGCACCCGGCACACGGTGCGTCATTCCTGAATATGAAAATTCAGTTTTTGTTGTATGCCAACTCAATACTGGCCTTTGGGTGGCTAGGAACGAAGGAATGGACCCTAATAGTAGTCCCTATATGACCCACTATAGTAGTTTCCATTTTCTTTTCCATTCCTTCATTCCCGGCTAACCAAAGGAAAACCCCAAACCAAAACCCTAAACCCTCGATTTTCTGATGTTGACGTTCTCCCAATGAGGAACCTGCCCTGCTGTGACACACTCTGAACTTGCAGGTGAAAACCTCTTATTGGTAAAAGGAATAGAAAAAACCGTAAGGCATTGACAGTAATGATCGCAGAAACCGCAATAGTGCTACCCAAACCCACAAGAACTGCGTAGAAGAATAACCTTTTTGGGCTAGTTTTATGAGTATTGGGCCATGATTGTAGCTGACTTTGGGGTCCGGGTAGCAACGATATCCCCAAAACCTACACCCTCAACCCTGAAACCCTAAGCCCTGAATCCTAAAACCCTAAAACCTAAGCCGTAAACCCTTAAACCAGGCAAAACCTCCAGGAACCCAGTGGCATCCTACCTGCACCACCTCATCATCGGCCTGCTCTCTTTTCGCAACCTTGCGCTTCGCTTTTAGGGCTTAGGGCTTAGGGTTTAGGGGCTTAGGGTTTGGGGTTTGGGGTTTAGGGGCTTAAACTTGAGGTTTCTAGGTTTGAGGAGGGCCGAAAAGGACGTTGAACATTGTTTTGCCTTAGCAGTGTTATCAAATTCGTGCAGGACCGACTTGTTTGTCATGTCCAGTCGGTTCTGGCAGGACCGCTCTGTGAAAACCCTAAACCCTAAACCCCAAACCCTAGACTGTTTTGGCAGGACAGCTTTGTCCTTGCAAACCTGTTCAGCCAGGACAGGCTTGGCATGACAAATCTGCTCTGGCTGGATCATCGCGTAATTCTAACATTATTCTGCAAGGACGCAGGTGTATTGTTAGCCTTGTTTTGGCAGGAAAGATTTGCGAATGTAAGACTGCTGAGGATGCACTGGCGACACGAATGTCATTATCCTGGCCAGCATGGATGCTCAGCGGAATCGAATGGACCGGTAACAGGAAACTTATCATCTTGGCCAGCAGACATATCCTGAAAATTGGACGCACTGGTAACATGAACGTTATTACCTTGGTCAGCATGGATGCTTGAGGGACCCGTATGCTCTAGTAACAGAAATGTTTTAATCTTGGCCAGCTTGCATGCTTTTGGAATCGGGCGTGCTGCTAGCACAAACGTTCCTATCTGGGCCAGCACGCATGCTCTGCTGGGAACACGATCGTTAATTCTAAGGGTTCAAGGACCCAAATAATAGGGTTTAGGGCGCAATTACTATTGATATTATAGCATTTGGGCCCTAAACAATTCCTATATACCACTATATAGTCGCCATATATCTCTATATATCACCCTATAACCCTTTAAAGGAGCCCTATTGTTAGTTGAAGAATTGAGGATGGGGTCTAGGTGCTCAGCATCCCTAAGCCCTGCACCCTAAACCCGTTTAGGGTTTAGGATTTAATTACCGTTCGGCTCAGTATTTTGAGAGATTTCACGTCAAACTTCCCTGCCAGGCGCAGCTCTCTCAGCCCTAAACCCTAAACCTTAAATAGTAGTTTTCATTATCCCCCTATAACTCCAATCTGCCCTGCAACCCCTACACAAATCTTACAATCTTATAATCCCTGTAGTTTCCATTTTATTTTCCATTATCCAAATATAACCCGAATGGGGATCACATCCGCTTGATGCAGTTCGGCGCTTTGGCCATGCCGCGCAGGATTTTGGGGTTTAGGGTTTAGGATTCAGGTTTTGCCTGAACCCCAAAAGCAAGTAAAATAATAGCCCCAAACACCTAAAAAACAGACCAAAAGGCTAGCATTCTACCTACTTTTGGGGTTCAGGTTCCCCTTTAATATCCCCTATAATTGTCACCTATTTATTCCCCTATATACAGGAAATCCCCATTAGGGCTTCGGGTTCGAAATCTAAACCCTAAACCCTAAACCCCTAAACCCTTAAACCCTAAACCCCTAAACCCCTAAGCCCCTAAGCCCTAAACCGTACAGCTCTCCCCACGTTTTGGCCTCATCGGCCAGGCGCGCGCGGAGCAATCCTAGGTGCTGGAGCACGGCTGCCTGGGTCATGGTAGGATTTAGGGTTTTGGATTTACGGGTTTAGGATTTAGGGTTTAGGATCTAAGGTTTAGGATATAGGGTTTAGGATTTAGGGTTTCGGGGTTTAGGGTTTACCTGGACCCCAATAGTAGGTAAAATAATAGCCCAAAACCATTAAAACTAGCCCAAAAAGGCCATTATTCTGCACACTTTATTCTACATACTTTTGGGGTTCAGGTAAGGCTCAGAACTTAGGATTTGGGGCTTGGGTTACGATTTTCGGCTTAAGGATTGAGAGCTTAGGGTTTAGGCTTTGGGCTTCGGGTTGGAGATTTTGGTTTCGAGAGTAGCCCACTTTCTGGGTCTTGGTGGAGAAGCAATCACACATTTATTTCAATCTTACTTTCTGGGTACCTAAACCCTCAACCCCAAACCTTAAACCCTTGAAACCCTAAACCCTTTAAACCCTAAACCCTAAACCCTGGTAGTCAGAGAAAGTGTAGTATGCCACTCCATGTGCGCAGTGGGATGACCGAAGAGTTTAAGGTTCGGGGTTTAGGGTTCGGGGTTTAGGGTTCAGGTTTCAGGGTCTAGGGTTCAGGGTTCCCTGAACCCTAAACCCTAAACCCTAAACAGGGTTTAGGGCTCAAGGTTTAGGTTCAGGGTTTAGGGTAGCACGGGCTGTAATTCCTGTGCAAGATGCCGGCCGGAATAGTAGGAGCTGATGCACAGTTACGGTGTAGGACAGTGGGCAGTTTCCATAGATAGGGGGACCCCAATATAGCCCCCAAAATACTACAGTCCTTATGATGGGCTTTAGGGTTTAAGGTAGAGATATGGTATATACCTGCGGCCCAAAGAAATGCCCATGTAGCTATTTTAAGGCCAAAGTATATACTACATTACTACATAGCTACATGGACCCTCAGGGAATGTCATGTGGGCCTAAAACGTTTTGAGCACGGCGTCGGGGACCGTGAATTGCACTGTAGCTTTAGAAGGATTCTTTTGAATGATGTTGGTGACTGTTCAGTCGTATGCATGCGGGGCGGCTGGAGAGTCAGTGTCGAAAAGGGGAGCCTCTCAATATGTCAGAAGTTGTAGTGGGCTTGGGCGTATTGCTGGTGAGGATCCGTTTAGGACAACTACTACGGGGGGACGGGGGGGGGGGGCGGCCTTCATTTACGTAAGCCTCTGTCAAATACCATACCAACATTTTCTTGTATGTACATGTCCACCGCACACCTCCAAAGGCCTTCTGTACCCCTCGTATTCCCAGAAAGTACATAGAACCCCTCTTATGGCTTTACTACTTTAATGGCTGCATCCGGATGCGATCTCGGGGGTCCTTTAGGAAACCTATGGGCCCAAGTATACCCCTCAGGCTCTAAGGCTTTTTTGTTTTTAGTTTAGGGTCTAGGGTCTAAGGGTACATTTTGAAGGAATTTGGGCCCAAATT